GGTTGCAAATGGTGTACAGTAGGGGTGTGTGAAGCGGGTCCTATGGTGTGTCCCACAGGAGTGCAGGGGGCCTTCCACATGCTCGGCAGTGAACCCAGAAGTGGACCAGAAGTACTTCAGGTCCACTTCCGATTCTGCTGGGGAGCGCGCTGGGGGCTGCCCTGCACCTCTCCAGTTTGGCAATGGGCCACAGGGGGATCCCAGGTGCCCCCCAGACCCAAGAGGCACCAGTCACTGAGCTGGAGGGGCACATGGGGGTGGGGAAGGGGGGCCCATGCGCTCCCTGGTGGATGCGCAAGTGGACTGGAAGTGCTTCTGGTCCAGCTCTGGGTCTGCTACGAAATGCACTGGGGAGCCCCCCATGCTTCTGTGGGATGCTCCATGTGCCCCAGCATTGCAGCATCTATGAGCCCCTGCTACCTAGAGGTATATAGAAAAAACATTTAAAGCTGTCTCTATGTCTGAATCTCTGAATCTTTCTGAATCTGTCTGAATCGATTTGGAGGGCTCCAATTCAGTTTTGGAGAGACTGAAGGGTCCTCTGATTCGATTCAGATTAGGAGATTCGGCCATCAAATTGGCCCGAATCTCCGCTGAATCGAATCAGGGACTGCAGCTTCTCACAGCCCTAGTGTTCAGATCATCATATATAACAACATATATTTTCTCCTATTAAACAGAAACTAGAAGCATTACTAATTTGCTAGGGGTCTAACTCTATATTATTCAGGTTAAGGTAAAAGCAAAAACAAATATAAATTTATTTAAATGTGCACTAATTTGCTAGATAATATATTAAGTTAATAGAACACAACACACAAGGCAAAAATAGTCAAAAGATATTGTTTCGTTAGTCCTGTAGTCATGATAGTGAATGTATTTCTTGTTTAGATCTGTAAAACAAAATATAGCCTTCTTGAGTGCCCTGACAATGCCTTTAATATTTCACTGTCAGTCATTTCTACATCTAAGTTAATATTATCACATCTGAGTTAAGGTTTTTAGCTAGAGCTGACACCAGTCTGCAGGGCTTTAAAATAGAAGAGAGACATTACTGGGAATAGCTAACAAACAGCAAAATTGCAGAAGAAAGGATAGCTTGAATAGTGGAACATTAAAACCATTGAAAAGAAGAGGGGGTCATTAACACCTGTGGAGTAGATTATAATGAGCCATGAAATTAAGTGACTCCCCCACTGCCTGAATAGAAATGCCGTTGCCACTGCCTGACAACACTTGTGCATCTGCATAATGTTAGTACCATTTTGCTCAACAGTTTGTACATTTTTATGCTTCAATTTACATGCATAAGTATTTGCAAGGTCAGGGGCTGTGCTTGCTTAACATTGCACTGTTATGTCTGTATTTCAACTGCCTTATTGCCTTTTGGACAATGCTTTGGCATGTGGGAATAAGGATTTAAAAGTAAACAATCAAAATACGAAGTAAGGGGTTAGTGAGGTAGAGGGCTGGCTATATCTACATTGTGTAGCTGCAGGTAACCATTTGGAGCTACAGGTACCTCTAGCAGTCTAGCTGCAACAGCATGGAGTTCAGCCTGGGATAGGCCCTTAAGAATGATCTCACTTGGGTTTTTCTCAATCCCCTGCTGCTGTGGGCTACATCCTTACCAGTCTGCCTACCTGAGCTGCAGCCACAGCTCTGGAGTGCAGCCCAGACCAAAAAAAACCCCCTCAGAGGTATATTTCGAGCACAATGTTTGCTAAACTCCGAAATTTGAGAAATTACGTAAGTGGAAGAATCGAACAGCTAAAAGCTTCACCAACACCAGAACTCTTGGGAAATGTGGCAGAAAGCTATAAAACAAGAAAAGGGAACAGAGAAATAAAGGCAGGCAAAGCTCACAGTTAGTATCAAGCAGAAGACAGTGGGGATGTACACATGCTTGACACAACCAACACAAGACAGGGCAATGTAGTGGGAAAATGCAGTGTAGTACATTTCTGCAAGAGTTCGTATGTGGCAGCACAGAGAATGACTATGGCATGACTAGCTCAGCGTCTTCTGTGGAGTTATGGGCACTGGGGCAGCAATCGAGGAACAGACCAGCACCCTGCACTCATTGGCCACTATAGTTAAAACCAGAAGGGGAAACCCTCCACTTGCACAAAATAAATATGTTAAAAGGAGACATTTTGTATTACCCTACAAAGAGAGAAATTTTGGAGGCTGTGCCCGGGTTTAAATCCTTTTCTCTAATGGATGCATCAACTAAGGCTCTGGCAAATGCCTGTAATAAAACAGGATGTGTATACTCTTCTTTTGGAAGACACTGCTTCCAGTGATGGCGAGGGGTGGGGGTCATGACCCAGATTTAGCGTCGGAACAAAAACAGGTTGGGAACCACAGATCTAATAGTAGACAGTAGTATAGTGGGTTAGATTTTAACCAGTTCTTAGTGAAGTCTGACAGGTAAACCTTACCTTCCCAAATTAAGCTCAGTAGAGAACAGCAGTAAAATAATTAAATGCTTAATAGAAAATACTGCAGTCCAACTCTTTTCTGTGCAGTATTTAGCACTGTTATAGTCTCAGAAACTGAGAATTGGAATTCTCATCGTAATAGAAGTGAACATTTGTTCCTATGAGGACCTGGCATTTATAGAAATATCAAAAAACTGAAAAAGCTAAAGAAAAGGAACAATGTAATTTGTGGTCCGAGCTGCCACTACAAAATAAACTTAACTTGGTATGCATTTCCTATGGAGACCAAGCATCACAAAGAGTAGTGGTATCACACCAGGCTGCCCCAGATTGCCATGTCACATAAATATATACTAAGGAGAAATAGATGGCATCTTCTCCAACCTCCTGACAAGAGAGAGAGAAAGGGAACTATGCTTGCTGTTCTTCTGGGAAAGGTCTCTGTTCGGCAAAACTACAGAAGGTTGTTAGTAGGATAATAGAAGGTGTGTAAGTTTTGGAGCCGTTTGTTATATCAAAGATTTTTTTTACCTGTTGTTTTTCTGGGAAAGAGATACTTTACTGTATTTTAAAAGAGTTAACTTCAGAGCAAGAAAGTTTCTGAGGGCCTGCAGAAGTCTATTATGAAGAGGCAATGAGAACTGGTCACAGAACAGGAATATAGAGTCACAGAAGCATGGTAAAGTGGGGCTGAAACGGTATCTCTTCACTGCCTCAGAGATAAATACATTAAAGACTGAATTGCTCAGCTACCAGGATAATTAGTAGGGCTGTGCGAGGCTTCGGACCATGCTTCAGATCCGGAGAAGCTTCGGATGCTTTGGCGTCCAAAGCAGCATGTCCAGATCGAAGCGCTGGCTTCTTCAGGCTTTCCGAAGTGGTTCGGAGCTTCTGAAGCAGTTCAGAAAAGCTTTGGAGCCGCCTTGGAGATCTGACCATAGGGTATAATGGGGAAACAATGAAATATATATAACCTTGTTGTTTTTTGGCTAATTTGGATGAAATTTGCAGGGATTGTATTCCAAGGAGATAAGTGCAGGGGTTTGGGGGAACTGCACCTCAAGCTGCAGACAAGCAAAACTCGTGACATGGGTAACAGTGTGTGTGTTAAGGCACAGCAGGGTGAAAGCTTCAGAGATGGTCACCTGGCCAGGACCATCCCAGGGGGTGTCTCTGCACTTGGCTCTCATGTTAAGTTATACTTATCTGTCAAGGCAATTTTTTTTTAACAAAACCTCTTTACCATTAAATATAAAGCTACTGCATTCTGCTGATTGCTACTGAATGGGCAGGTTTGGTGTTTTAGGGGAAAGCTTCACGAGATTACAGCTGGCTGCTCACAGATAAAGTAACTGTTTATTTTTCAAGTGAAAAGATTTTTTAAGGATCTGATCCTGAAATCTTATTTCAGTAGAAGTCTGGACTGACTAAAGTATTTAAACATGAAGATTAAAATAAACAAAGGCTTAACAAGAAACCTTTTCCTATCAGAATGGCATTTTTTAAATCAGATTTCACAATGAAAGCTGCATTATTCACTTCCTTATTGAGAGACAATAAATGGGAGAGGATAAGTTCAGGACATAGCACTTCTGACCCATTCAGAGCATTTTAGACAAATGATGAGGCTTCTGTATTTTATTTTGCTAGCTAAAAGCGTCTATGCTGCTCCTGCATCTAAAATGACAGCAATCATTCATGAATTGCTGGATTTAACAACATATATGACAAATACAATGCAAGTGAATAAGGTAACTCTCAACTTAGATCTTTCTACTTCAAAACTTATATATGCAGTTATTTTATCCTTGTAAAACTTAACTTTTATTGAGACTTGATAAACATGCTACTACAATACTATTTCTTTTATTAGGGTTAATAGAGATGAGATTTCAAGACTTTAACCAATTATTATGTTCTCTTTCAGAGTTTTAGGATTCAAACTCCAGTTAAAATGGAAGTAAGTAAAAAGTTTGATACGATTAACTTCATGATGCTGGATGAGTACATATTACCAATTGTAGTGCCCTCAAACTGCAGTCTATAGTTAAGATAAATGGATTGTTCTTTCAATTTAATGTCCAAATGAATATTGAAAATGTAAAGGTATCCATTATAAGTTAATTTCCATGAAATTAAAAAAAAGAAAAACTTGCCATAACTAAGTATTCAGTTAGCTTCAGTTCCAAGAAAAAGTATTTTGTGATGTGAAATGAAACCCAGCACAGTAAACTTCTTGTTTTTATATAAGAAAACATGTAATATATAGGTTACATAGTAAATAATGTGATTTTGCATTTTTAAATGAATTTGGTTGCCTTGATTTAGGTCTTAGGAGACAAGTGGCCACATCACAAAATACTAGTCACAGAAAAAGGCAACACAAAGGAAATAGGGTTTTTTAAAGTTTTTACTTTTAAAAAAGATATTTCACACACACATGCATTCTTGATATCATTAACAATCTATAGGACTGCAAAACATTTATCAACGTTGGACTCTGTTAAGCTCTAGGTATACTCACAGTCAATTTTTGTAGCACTCAGAAGAGCTAAATTTCTCTGTGTCCTTTACCTTTAACCTTGGAGCAGATCACAGGCAAGAATTTTGGTGGGCAGGCTGCAGTTGCAGGTTAGTGCAGGTTTCAGTTAGTTAGGGTACAGACAGAAGTGCAGCTCCCTGCTGTAACTGAGAACATTTTGCAGGAAGCCTGCCCAGCTGGCTGAGGGAGCAGGACAGAGCCACGGGCAGCTCATCCTGGAGGCGGGGGGAGTGGGGGCTGGTTCCCTGCTGCTGTGTGTCTCTCAGATTTGTGTGCAGAGTGGAGCCAGATGTGGGCTGCCAGCTGTGGGCTTGGGGCTCCCCTCCCTGCTGCCCTCCCCACAGGGCCTCCATGGCAGACCTGGGCAGGGAAGTTTGGCTGGTGTGAGGCTCCTTGGTGCCACCACCAGGAGTCTCACACTAGCCACACCATCATGGCTAGGTGCCTCTGCCTGCCTGGCAGCAGTGGGGGGTACAACTCCATGCTGCTGCCAATGCTGCCAGATAGGCAGGGGGCACCTTACCATGGTGGTGCAGCTGGTGTGGGGCTCCCAGCAGCAAGCCTGAGCCTCCCTGACCTTCTGTGCTAGGTCTTGCCTGCTGGGCTGTGGAGGCCCCTGGCTCAAGGCAGCAGGGCAGAGAGTAATGGGTAGTCCACATCTTCCCTGCCCATGGGCTCTGTTCTGGCCATGCTGCCCAGGGTGGGGGGAGCCGGGCTTTGTGCTCTGCTCATGCTCTGCTCCAGCTGTATCAGCCACCTCCTACCATGGGTGGCAGCTGGGGCTCAGGTGCTGCTGGTGGGGGCAGGGGGCTGCAGGCCCTGGCTCTGGCTCCATAGTCCTGGCAGCTGGGGTCCCTCTCTGGCAGGGCTAGGGGGGGACAGGGGGCTGCGGGTTGTGAGTGAGAGGCACCAGCAGAGCTGGGAAGGTTGGGGGCTTTCAGTGGGGAGTGAAGGGCACTGGCAGGGCCCAGGGGACTGTGGGTGTGGAGTTAGGGGCATTGGCAGGGCATGGGGGGTGGGTATTTTGGGTGGGGAGTGAAGGACACTGGCAGGGCTAGGGGGCTGTGGGTCAGGAGCAAGGGGCACCTGGGTGGGGTGAGGGTCTGCAGGTTGGGGTCATGGAGTCATGCTGAGGAAAAGGTTGGGAAGCACTGCCCTAGAACAAGCTCCCTCCGCTTCCTTTACCCCCTCCCATTCTGCATACTGGCTGGGAGGCAGTGTAGACACGAGTTACAGAAGACACGTTATAATCTGAACCTTCATGCAGTAACAGTTCCGATTTTCACCGGATCAGACATTTTGAAGAGGTCTGCAGTCACTCACTTGTTTGGTCACAGCTCTAGACTGCTTTCTGTGATGATATCAGGTGAAAATTGTCATTTCTGTCTGCACCCTTAAGTGTATTCTGAAAAGACTCCTCAGTAACATGTCTTCTGTGGGCTGTATTTGGTTTTGATTACTACATTGTAACCTGCTCCTGCTCTGGGAGCACGAGAATACATACAAACTAGAGATCTCCCTGAGGTCCCCATTATCTCAGGTGAAAGCTTTAAAGGGCTTCTCTTTCAGAATCTGCTGAGCCATTTTCCTCTGCAGCTCTGATAAATGGATTAGGGGGCTAGGTACGGACATTCAAAAAGCCCAAGGCAGAATTGATCTAAGTTAAGCAATTTTCTGTAAGTGGTGTAGTTTAGATTGGTAGCAAACAGAACACACATTTGTACTTTGGGGAGGTGGGAATCTTAGACCGGGTTCTGCCATTTTTATACTAGTCTGTGTGTGCCGAAGCTTTGTTCTGTTATGGGTATAGACTGGTTTTCGATCACTTACTTATACCAGTGAAAGTGTAACATCTGTACCTGGCCTTTGCCTGCTTAGTTCTTTGTAATACCACCTTTGACTTGGTGCTTATCTCAATTTATAAGGAGTTTCATTTGGTTTGTAGAGGCCAGAATTTCAGATTTATTCGGTTGTCAACCTCCCAGCACAATTTCTCCTCTCATAATGCCATGGTTTCCTAGGGCATTCACAATATATCTGATAAGATAGTACCTTAGGTGGTTTAGTTTTCTTTTGTATGTACTAATCCTCACTAAGAGCATTTGGCTGTTAAACTTTCATTGGCTGGGTCCACACAAGCCAGGCTTACTACTTCTAGCAGATTTCCTTTTGAGAAAAAATGACATTCCTGCTTGCCAATTTTAAATAAGCAAAAGTTGCCTGAATTATCATTTTTTATAAAATCTGTGAAAGCCTGCAATAAAGGAAATGCTCACTTTGTAGAGTCAATGATGTTAGGGGTTCATACCCTAAATCACACCAGTGGAAACAGCTGCCTTCTTAGTGGCATGCTAACCGATGATCAGATACTCTAGTCTGGGTAGACTGAGCTGTACAGGAGCAATCATTTGGCTTAATTAAAACTGTAAAGGACTTTGTAAAGGACTTGAACTCATTACACCACTTTAAAAATCATGCATATCTATTTACTTCAAGCTTTCTAAGGCATCTGCTTGGGGAGTGATTATTTACCCATTGACTTGAGCCCATGCACACCAGTACCCCAGTGTCCCATACGCCTTGAACTATTATTGAGGAAACACCCCAACATGCATCTCTTCCAGTCAAGTCAGCTAATTTGTTTTACTGCCTGGCTGTTTAATGGCAAATGTAAGTTACTCCCAGTAAACCTCGTACCATTCTCTCAACTTGGTCTCCCTGCAAGACATGGGCAACTGGTGCCATCTTAGTTGGTGGGACACGTCCCCCCCCGCAACCAGTCCTGCCGACTGGGGTGGGTCCCACTGCAGCCAGTCCTGCGACGTCTGATCACTGTGGCCAATTGCGGCAGCCGCTTCTGGGAGTGGCTGCGGCTGCAGCGATCAGCTAGCACTTGCAGGGGGGGCACCGGCACTCTCAGGTGGTGCACGTGCACCCCCATGCACACCCTATGCATCACCACTGCTGCAAGACAAGGTGTTAGTTCTTTTCTCCCATGTCTGAGGACTTGACTTGCCCAATAAAATCATGTGTGCACTTCGGCTTTCAGGTAGAAGAAAATGTCCCTTTTTAGCAAAGAAAAATCCAGAAACAGCAACCACAGTCAGCTTCTTGTAAGGCAAAGAATACTCTTGGTCTCAGATCAAGGGCTCAGACTAAGAAATTCCTTTGGCTCTTGTTGCTACTCTTGATATCTGCAGAAAGTTCAGTTGCATCTTTCCCCTGTTGCTGCTCAGCTGTGGCTAGCTCAGAACAATTCTCATCTCCAGCTAACTCTTAAGGCTCACTCCTGCTCCAGTTAATGCTTCCATGAGCCAGTCTGCCTCATCTAGATACCACTCTTGGTTTGATAAATTCAGCTTTAGCTTACTATCTCTTGTGTGGAGTTGCTTATCTGTCCTGTCATTTTGAAGCCTTTTTTTTGAGAGTGGTTTTGCTTTCTGGAGCGGAGGTTTTGCACAGAAGTTTAACTTCCAAGTTATTTTCTCCTTTCCTGAAATTGTAGTTCAAGGCAGATAACTCTGAGTTCCAATAGTGACTTTGAGTTCTCAATAACTTTGAGTTTCAGATAGTGAACTGTCTGTCACTATCCAGCATGCTTTGCTTTTGCCTGGAGGTGTAGAATCTTATCTTCTAACTCCAGCAATGTACACCAGTCCTTAGCCTCTACCTCTTCCTGCTCTAGCAAAGTGGTTAATTAAATATCTGATTAAAGCAAAACATTTTTTGCTGCAATTTTCCCGCAGCTTACTACAAAAATGCATAGCATGCTACAGATACCTTTTAATTCTCTACCTTTAGCTGAGTTTTTTAAAATTCTCCTGTAATCACAGGAATGTTTTCTTTCCCAGCTAAAGTACTCTAAAACAAATACATCTGCTCTGGCACCTTTTTCCTAGGAAAAAGCTCCTAGGTTGGTTTGTTTTTTGCAGAGGCTAGACAAGTGCAGTTCAGGTACTTTCCTGCCAGCCTCACTCTTGCCAGCGTAACTGTTCACTCTGCTCATATCTCACGTCCCTTTCATTTATCCAGTCTATCTAATCTATTGTAAGGTCTTTGGGACTAGGGCTGTATGAAGCTTCGGTCCCCGATTCAATTTGGCGGAAATTCGGCCCGATTTGGTGGCCGAATCTCTGAATCCAAATCGAATCAGGAGACACTTTAATCTTTTCAAATTGAATCGGAGCCCTCTGAATCAATTCAGAGAAGTTCAGAAAGATTCAGCAATTCGGACATAGACATAGCTTTAAAAGTTGTTTCTACATACCTCTAGGTACCAGGTGACTCGTGAATGCTGCAATGCTGGGGTGGATGGAGTATCCCACAGTAGCGAGGAGGGGGGCAGGAGTCACCAGCGCTCTTGGTAGCAGACTCGGAAGTGGACCAGAAGCACTTCCAAGCCACTTCCGGGTCTGCCAGAGAGTGCACTGGGGGGCCCCCCTGTGCCCCTCTGGCTCAGCGACTGGTGCCTTTTGGGTCTGGGGGGGGCACCCAGGGTCTCCCTGCAAATGACTGCTGAGCTGGGGGGGAGTGTGGGGGGCCCCCCAGCATGCTCTCCAGTGGATCCAGAAGTACTTCTGGTTCACTTCCAGGTTCGCTGCCCAGCATGCGCGGGGGCCCCCCCATGCTCCTGTGGGATGCTCCATCTGCCCCAGCATTGCAGCATTCACAAGCCACGCCTGGTATCTTGAGGAACGTAGAAAAAACATTTAAAGCTGTGTCTATGGCCGAATTGATGATTCTCTGAATCAGGATTGAATCTTCAGATTCGGATTCAGCTGAATCGAATTGGAGACAGTGATCTGAATCAACAGATTGAATAACTGTCCCCAATTCAGGCCAAATCCAAATCAAATAGGGCCTGTTTCGCACACCCGTATTTAGGTCAGAGGCCATCTCCTACTTTGTACCGTGCCAAGCACATTCTTAGTGGGAGTATCTACACAAGATGCTAAATGAGCAGTAGCTTAATATTACTGTGCAGTAGTGTATCAGCAGTATTAAACTACTGCACAGTAGCATCACTAAAAAGCTGTGCGCTGGTGCTACTGAACAGTAGTGCTGGTTACTGTGCACTGATTTAGTACTTGGTTATACAAATACTAAATTTAATGTGCCATAACTATGACACATTAATGAACATGTAGACATGCCCAGTTGGTCTTCAGGCACTACAATAAGAAACATGCTTAATTACTATTATTATTTATCTCTGTCTTTATTAATCATGCACCTAATTTGTACAAGCAACCACAAAAATAATGCTTATAGTTTCAGCTATTTGCAAACTGATTTGTGCCTGCAATATTGATGAACATGCATAGATAGGAATTGCACAAAGGTTTGATTTTCTAAGTTACTGGGAATATAAATATCAATTGCATAATCAAACTGCCTCTCAGCAGTGTTGAAACCTAAGGCAGATTTATTTTTAACTGCACAATTACATTTAGCAGTTGATAGTTCTTGCAACTCCCTTTGAATAGTTTTCCCTTTTTTATTTCCTTAGAATGCAGGTTGCGCCAGCAAAATCTTTGAAGGGCTAACATCTCTGGAAACTCAGGTCACGGAGGAAAAATACAAGGCTTTTTTTCAAAACGCTAAAACACTAAATAAATTGCTCCCACAAAACATGGAAGCAAAGGTAGGATTTTCCTTCTAAGCTATCTGTGTTCATTCTCTCAGAGATCAAATGCTTTTCAAAGGCAACTGAGTTTAGTACACAAAGGAGGAACTTCTGGGTTGATTTTTTATGCAGAATACCCAATTTGTTAGTGTGGACTTTTGCTTAAAATCTAATAGTCTATTTTGACTTTGCATGGTGATCCTTGTGTCTTGGAAAGCCACTTAACACCTTGTGTTTCTAGCTTCAGTTGACCTTGTTATTTTAGTTATTTTTAGTATAGTTGTTTTTGTTTTATTATTGAAAAAGCAAAATTGTTCAGGAATTTAATTTATTTTTTCCTGCAATGCTGACCTTGTGCATGTGCACATGTGCGTGTGTATGTATGTGTGCATGCATGTCTCTCCCTCTCTCTCAGTTTGACCTATTTGCAAAAAATGGAAATCTATAATCAAATATTTAATTAGATCATGACAGAGGTACCTGTAAAGATTAAGGGATGTTTGTACAGTATATTCAAGATGCAAAGTATATATTGAGTAATTTCCAAACTTTTGGCTTATTTTGCAGACAACTTGTGATACAGAAGGAATGAATGCAAGGAAATTCTTAGAAAAAGTGAAATATTTCCTTCTTTC